AGAGTTGAAAGTAGCTGGAGGCTGTTTGTTGAAGGAGGAATACTAACGAATAGGTCACAGAAGAGAGCTCCGGACCTCACTTACAAAGAGCTAACATGAGTAGCTCAGGCTTGATGCACAAGACCCGGTCAAAAGGAGACTGTTGAGAATCCCCCAACTCACAGAGCAAATCTCGGAGGTTGGTTAGGATCGCTCAAACAAGGCTAGGAGCTATTTAAGGAAGAGGAGAAGATCATGGCATGGGGACTCGATCATTTTTTCCGCACATTCAAGAACTCTAAATACATTCTTAATTCTTTGTAATCACAGATCGTTACACTTGTAATCACCTTTTACCAAAAACATTCAATATAATAGTATTCATTCTATAAGTTCTAAACATGATTCAGCCCACGATTATCTTTTCTCCAATCTAAACCTGGTCTAAATTAGGAAGTGAGTTTTATCCCTCACAACGTCCTTCAACGAATCTTTCAAATAATTCTTCACGATTCTTTCAATATCCTCTTGGTCAGCCCACCAACAATGGTACTCACCTCGGGACGAGCCTTTGTAAGAACATCTTCCTCTGCCTCTTCCTCTGCAGGTAGCTCTTCACTAGGCTCTTTACGAGCTTTCTTAAGAGGTCTTGGACTGCCTTCCTCTTCCTTCACCAGAACTATCTCTTTCTTCTCTTTCTTCACTGCCGGCTTTGTATTGACCCAAGTAACGGTGACTTCCCAGCAATCCATGGTCCATTTCCATGGTCTCTGATTACACATGAGTTTAATTATGTTCTCCGCAACTGGGTCCTTAGCATCAGAGTCCCATTTTGGAAACATTTCACCAATGTCCTTCTCAACAAATTTCATCACCTTCGTCTGCAATAATTAAAAGATATAAACTCAGATATTTGACGGATCAAGAAAGATGGAAAGAAAAGACTTCACAGAAAACTTATGATTAAGTCGTCTGGAAAGTCTTCCAGCTAGACGACTTAATAATAAGTCGTCTTGGAAGTCTTCCAGCTAGACGACTTAATAATAAGTCGTCTTGGAAGTCTTCCAGCTGGACGACTTAGTAGACTATTTATTATTAAATCGTTTGGGTAGTCTTCCCGGACGACTTAATTATAAGTCCTCTACTAAGTCATCCAGCAGGAAGACTTTCCAGACGATTTAATTATAAGTCCTCTACTAAGTCGTCTAGTTGGAAGACTTTTTTAGACGACTTAATCATAAGTTTTCAAAAAGTTTTTTGAATTGAAGTAAATACCTTTTCTTTCAATAGCTTCTTTAAAGCATCTTCGTCCTTTGCTACACTAGTAAGCCAATATCGGTGGAGACGGTTTGTTTAGTATGGGATTACCATAAGTAGCACCCAATTCCGACAGAGCTGTGTACACCCAGACCTGGAGAGCTTGTATAAACCCATCAATGGTGTAAGAACCCGAAATACTTTGCCTTTCACAGAATCCATCAGCACCTTAAACGCGACACTCCCCCATGGATAATTCTCAAACCGTTCTAGATCCATCACTAGCCTTGCCAGACTAACACGTATAGGGGTTGAAAACTTTCTCCCTTCAATCTATCCAATGAAGATGGCAAGGTACCAGAGCCGCTTACGATCATCCGGAGACCACCCTTCGCATCTCTCAAATGCTGCTATTATCTGTTGAGTAGTTGGTTCAGCTTCGACATGTACTCCCAACAACTCCCAGAAAGAAGCCAACTCCTTTGTAACAGAACAGTTTGGTCTCTCAAGGTCCTCGATGTACTCAAAGTTTAGACCAGTGATGTATTCAAACTCTAACAGTGAGAACCTCAAAGGTTGTGGACCAACAAGACTCCACAGCTCATGCTTCTTCTTTATGTCGAGCTGGAAACCGAGAATGTAGTGAACCAGCCTTGAAGCCCAATCAAATTTCAGCTCTTGGAACTTGATGAAAACTCCCATCTTAGACTTCTTTAGCTCTTTATATTCGTCATCATGAAGAGCATTCCTTAAAGCAGTATACAACTTCATACACGGATGATACGAAATACTATTCAATGCGGGGGACTCTTGCCCTACTGTATGTATCCTACGGGGGAGTTCTGGAATATCCATATTTTTTTTCTGCAAAACTAACAAAGACAACCATCTCAAACACACAACCATCTCAAACACACAACCGTTAGTAAGTCGTATGCCTTAAATATATTTACCAGACGACTTAATAGTAAGTCGTCGAGACCTTAAACCCTAAACTAAATTGACTAAATTAACTAACTAACCACATTATAAAATCAAATTATACTTAAATAGTGTTTACTATACACAGAAATAAACACACTTAGGTAAATTTTAAATTTTTCAAAAAAACATTTATGCTTTCAAAAATCTAACCCTAAGAAACACATACAATACTACAACATATGTTGGCAAAACCTAAACCAAAGAATATCATGACTCACTACTTACACTCATCTATGTTGAAAACAATTAAAATTTTGTTATATCTTAAATTTATATCTCTTAAAACATATGTTAATTACATGATTTCAATTTTTCACTTATCAAAATATTTTTTACAAGTTTTTTAAATTATTTTTAAGAATAACTTTACTAGATGACTTTCAAGTAAGTCGTCCGTCCAGACGACTTTCAAGTAAATCGTCCGTCCAGACGACTTACATGACAATCGTCTGGACAGAATAGTTGCGGGGGTTAGAAACATAAAAAAAAAAAAATTCACAAGAGGCTAGTTATAATTTCAATATTCTTTTCAATTATTTTTTCATTTAATTCAAATTTGAATTTACTTTTGTATTTTAAACCAAATTTTGAGTCATATTTGGTAAATCTCTCTTTATGTAGCTTTTTGACGCAGTTTTTATAAATAAGCAAGAACTATTAATGGGAACTTATGAAACGTCATGAAATGATTTATTTTGAATGTGAATGTTGACTTTTAGTCACGCTAGTATAACTTCAGTTGGTTTTATAGACGAAGTCAATTATTAAGATTTCTAAAGGTAAAAAAAACAGTTCAAAGCAGTATAGATTAAACAAATCAAACGTAATACAAGCATATCAAAACGATTCAAATATGAGAGATGCAGATTAAGCAAGAGATTAAAATCAAACAGATCAAACCATTATTATAATTTTAAAATGGTAAAAATAGTTCAAAGAAAACAGACTATATGTTTATATAATAAAAATACAAGAAAAATATATCAAAATACATAATATATAAATAAAATACATAAATAATAATAAATATTCTACTAAAATTCTGTTACTGCAGTTTTAAAACTAAAATATAAAACATTGAAATTTAATGATATATAATTATTTTTCATTAGTATACAATGATAATATTTATATTGTTATAGATGTCAACAAAATAAAATAAAATATTATATTTGTAAAAGCTAATAAATACATTTTTAAATTTTATAATAAAACCATTTATTGGTCAAGAAAAGAAAAAAAAAAAAGATGAACAACTCGAATATATAACGGTGTAAAGTGTATGCAGATCTTCTATTTTTCTCACAAAAAACAAAAAAAAAATACCGTAAATTACATGTAAATCTTCCACATTCTACAATTTAAAACCGAAAAAAAAACATTGAATGGTAAATTAAATGCAGGAGATCTATATGTGAGAGAGATTTACACTTCTTCCGCTACACCATTCGAACCCTAAGACAAAACCATACCACCATAAACTACTGCTTATCACTCGTTTCAGTCTGAATGCTATTTGCAAAAAAAAAAGCACATGGTTGAATGGTCTTTACACTTGTTTTTTTTTTTTTTGGGGCACATGGTTGAATGATCTTTACACTTGTTTAATTCTCCTATTTTGTTTATTTAGTTGACCCTTTATAATGTTCGTACTTGAAATTACAAGGCATGGTGAAATGACATTTGTAAAGAGCCTCGAGGAGAAGATTTTTGACTAATGCTAAATGAAAAAACGTATGACCATCCAGATTCGAAGCTTAACTTAGGAGTCGGTATTTTATCTGTTACTTCTGATTCGATTGTTATTCGTTTTGATTTGATCAAAGAATTTCGAATATTTATGAAGTTTCGAAACAAAACAAATATTAAAAATCGATATCCGTTAAAATCAAAACAAGTCACAAATATTAAAATTTTAGGAAGCGGATATCCTCTCCGATTCGGCAATATATAAATACAAGTATATTTTGATTATATTTAAAGTTTTAAATGTATAAATTATAAAATTATTATTCCAACATATTATTTAACAATTTATATTCACATTATTATTTATATAAAAGTATAACATAAAAAGAAGAAAAAAAACTTAATAATTTTTTTCTGAAGTTTTAGGTTATTATAATTGTTAACTAAAAAATTACAAAATATGTAAATTCACTACTTCTTTTAACTTTTTTTATATACCGTGAAAAAAGTGTTTTACAAAACAAATTTATATCAAATTTTTAAAATTATTTTTTTTAATTAAATTAGATTATTCGTAAGTATTCGTAAATATCTATTTATTTTTCAGATATTTTCTCTATTTTTCCTAAGGGACATGTAAATGGACCCACATAATACACTTTCATTCAATTTCAGACCGTTAACACCCAATCCGCATTTCTCCAACTAGAGTTTTCCACGTGGCAATACAAATATCCGAAACCCAAATAACAAGTAATAACCACCAATCCACCATGTGTCTCTCGTTCGAGATTTATCACTTCATCACAACTCTGAAACTTTCAAATATCCAATAAATTTTTCATCAAAAACAAATATCGTTATGCAAATCTAAACTTAAGACATACCAAAAGAAACATGAAGTAAAATAGATGTTGCTTGTTTTTAAAGGCTAGAAATGGTTTACTTATCAACAATTATCTTAGCAGATAAACTAATCTAAAACAACATCACAATGCATAGTTTTTTTTTTTTTTTTTTTTTGAAAAAGGGCATAATGCATAATTTCGTTCAGAAAATCAAAACATGAGTCACTCATTACACAACCACATCCAGTCACAACAAAACTCATTTTCTTCTTTACAAATTGCCATTTGTTTTGTATAGATCCATTTTCCTCCTCTCATTCCTCATTTTATTTTATTTTATTTAAAAAACATCTTTATGTCACCACACAAAACCCCATAAAATCAAAAATCGTTACCCACATTCTTTCATTCTATCCTAATCCCCATCACTCAAAACAGAGTGCTTAGGCGGAGAAGAAGAGGGAGAGTAACCAAACATCAAACAACAATGGCTGTCTCAACAATCTACTCAACACAAGCTCTCAACTCAACTCATTTCTTAACCTCTTCCCCTTCTTCCTCCACAAAACAAGTCTTCTTCTACCGTCGTAATACCAACCGTAGATTCAACACCATCATTACTTGCGCTGCACAACAAACCGTCGTGATCGGACTCGCTGCCGACTCCGGATGCGGCAAAAGTACCTTCATGCGGAGGCTGACCAGTGTCTTCGGTGGAGCCGCCGAGCCACCGAAAGGAGGGAACCCTGACTCCAACACACTCATCAGTGACATGACCACTGTGATATGTCTCGACGATTACCATTCTTTGGACAGGACCGGTCGCAAAGAGAAAGGGGTCACTGCTTTGGACCCACGCGCCAATGACTTTGATCTCATGTACGAGCAAGTCAAAGCTCTTAAGAGTGGTATCGCCGTCGAGAAACCCATTTATAATCACGTCACTGGACTTCTTGACGCACCTGAGCTTATTCAGCCTCCCAAGATTCTCGTCATCGAAGGTCTTCACCCAATGTAAGTTTTACTCATGCTCTGTTTTGTCTGTCAGACAAAACGTATCAGTTTCGAGTTTGTAAGTCTCTTTTCTTGTTGGAATCTTGGACTTATCAGATATTATATAAAAATCAGTATCATAATAGAACCTTTGCATGAAACTCTTGTAGTTTGACAACAATTAAAAATGTTATTTGAATAAATATGTGTATAGTTTCAGTCATTACTCATTACAGTATTTTTATAATACTGTTTTATGTACTTGTGAAGGTTTGATGAGAGAGTAAGAGACTTATTGGACTTCAGTATCTACCTAGACATTAGCAACGAAGTCAAATTCGCTTGGAAAATCCAGGTCTCTTTCTTTATCTAAACACATTTCATTTCACTCGACAGTTACCTTTAAGGTGTCGTTGACATGGACTTTTGTAACGGTTTGTAACGGTTTGATGATAATAGAGGGACATGGCAGAAAGAGGTCACAGTTTAGAGAGCATCAAAGCAAGTATTGAAGCACGAAAGCCCGATTTCGATGCATTCATAGGTATAATCCTAGTTTCGGTCTTCAATTCCTAGAATATTGATTTTTATGGTTTAACAATCTATGAATGACTTATTACAGACCCACAAAAGCAGTACGCAGATGCGGTGATAGAAGTGCTTCCAACGCAGTTGATTCCAGATGACAACGAAGGCAAAGTGTTGAGAGTGAGACTGATAATGAAGGAAGGTGTTAAGTACTTCAGCCCGGTTTACCTATTCGATGAAGGTTCAACCATCTCGTGGATCCCTTGTGGTCGCAAACTCACTTGCTCCTACCCTGGCATCAAGTTCAACTACCAACCTGATTCCTACTTCGACAATGAGGTACATTCATTTATAATGAGTTAAGAAGTTTCTTGCCTCTTGCTTTGAGCATTTGTCTCCCCCTGTTTCAGGTTTCGGTTGTGGAGATGGATGGGCAATTCGATAGACTGGACGAGCTGATATACGTGGAGAGTCATCTGAGCAACCTCTCGACCAAATTCTACGGTGAAGTGACTCAACAAATGCTCAAGCATGCTGACTTCCCTGGTAGCAACAATGGGACTGGTCTTTTCCAGACCATTGTTGGATTGAAGATCAGAGATCTCTATGAGCAGCTCATTGCCAACAAATCCACTGCTCCTTCAGAAGCTGCTAAAGCCTAAAACCAAATGCAAAATAGAAAGCGTCGATAAATCCATTTTCAGTTTCTTCTTCTTCTTGCTTTCTTTCTTTCTTTCTTTATGCCTTGTTTCCCGCGAATTTTCATGGCGAAAAGGACGGTGTTGCTTGTTTATAATTTGTGTTGATAATGGAGATATATAAGAAAAGCCTGTAATGTAGAGTAAGTTACTAGCAGAGCAATAACAATTCAGTTAATACAACACCTTCATCTATCTATTAAATTAGAAGCATAATAAGGAAACGTTTGTTTTTTTCCAATTCAACATGCTCTTGTTTGAATCTTAAATACACACAATTGAGCTTCTTCCCCACCACAGAAAAACCGTACATAACAGAGATCATGTAATAACTCTGATTATCATTGTTCTTCTTCTTCACCAAATCGCTTCCAGTCCAGACTTCACCATACATCACAATACTCTTGTATCACTCTATTTAAATCGCCAAACCACTTATCTCTCAATCATCATATATACTTATTCTCACATTCTCATTCTCAAACTCAAAAATCAACACTAAATACAATTTCGCCTTTTATTAACTTTACATATATATTTTCTTTCCATTACAAATTCACAAACATTTACAAAAACTAAATAAAATAGATAGCGATTTTTCCCATCATCTTTTCATTGATACAACAAGCTCTCACATCCAAAGCAAAATGTTCCCATACTGAAGTAACTTGCCGGATCCTGAGACCATCAGTTGTATGTCGCCACGGCATCGCACCTCAGCCGACAACCGCCAGCAAACTTTGCCTGACTGCAGGGACAGAACACAGTAACGATCCAAAGATTCCGGTGAGGGCATAAGCAATCGCACAGAAGGGAAGAGCCTCTGGCTCCTTAGCCGACAAAGCTGCTGTTCCAAGTCCATGAGCACTGTCCATAAGAAAACAAGAAAGTTAATGTCTTTTGATCCTGGTGGCACCAATGGCTAAACAAAATGTCACCTTGAAGCAGTTGCGATTCCCCGAGCAATTGGGTCGCGTAAACGCAGTTTGTCAAGAACAACTTGTACGAAGTTAGCTCCAATAAGACCAGTCACAACAACTACAGCCGCTGTAAGAGACGAATTGGTTCCTGAAAATATCCAAGAAAGACATTAGGATTTTTCTTTAATATGCTCTGCGGAGGTGAAGAATAATATGAATTAAGTACTTTTATACCTTCAAAGAGTGATACAATGCTAAGGGCCAATGCAACCGTGATGCAGCGTGGTAAGATTGAAACCGTTAAAGATGGTTCTAGACCGACTAAACGTCCAACAAGAGCAGTGGAGTAGAGCGAGAACACCGTTGAAACAATCACAGATGTGAAGATCTCAGCTGCGTGCCTCTTCACAAGCTGAAGGCAACAAGAGGCAAAGCAAACAGACTGTTACCAGATTACTAAGGAAAAACAGAACATGTTTGTTGTTGTTTTGTTTTAACCTTTCTTTGTTTGAACATGGAGAAAGCGAAAGAGAGAATGACAGAGCCAAGAAAACCCATTAGTATGTCACCAGCACCAGGATCTGATGCTACTTTGGTTAAGTAGTTTCCTGTATCCATTTTAAAGAGCAGTTTTACATTCTGGTTTAGTTTTGGTTAAAGGGTTTCTCTAGAGTTTACGTAACTTTACCTAAAACATGATCAAGTCCAGATCCTGAAGCATACCCGAAAGCTAGAGCAGCGAGTACTGAAGATAGCGCGCAGCAGATTATTGGATGGAAAACTTTCTTGATAGAAGATGGCAACCTTGGAAAAAAAGAAAGTCAAGACAATGAGAATATAACAACAAGAAAGAGAGAGGGAATTGACAACTAAGGAGAGAGGAGATGATTAGAATATTACCCTGATCCCACAATGTAACCTAGAACAGTAGAAGAAAGAAGGAAAGGGAGACAAGTTCGTGCACTTGTCCCCAGTGAAGTAGGGTAAAACAGAGCTGCAACAAATGACACGACAAAGATCCCACTCCAACTCCATAGCTCAAGTGTTGAAAAAGGTGATGGTTTTGCCATAGGCTCTGCTTCTGTCATTTCGGTTTTCACCATTCTTCTCACTGCTATAGCCGTGAAACCTGCTACACAAAGAGATGCCAACCATCCACCAGCTGTACAAGCATTTGATCAAATATTAGATATGGTTTTGGCCCCGCATATACGGCTAGATGCTAGAGGTTCTTATACCACCCTAACGAGCGCCTAGCCGCATTTTAGAACACTGATTAAACATCAGATCAGTAAATAATATAAAATTACTATGAAAGCTACAAGAAGAACAAGAGAATGATTATATACCTACAATGTAGCAGATTTTGACCCCTGAAGCGGCGGGAATGTCTCTGACGGAAAGAGGGAGAACCACAAGAGAAGGGACGTAGAACAAAGGAAGCCATCTCTGGATAAACAGAAACGCTGGCTCGAAGAAGTTCATCATACCGGTCGCAGCACCAGGAACAACGGAATCTAATATCATAAGAACGGAGAAAATACAGAACATTCCGAACAGAGCGCTAGGGAACTTGATGGACGCCGCTACAAAAGCCTGTTTCAAGAACTGGTCTGCCGCAAGTATGATCCCAAGCGACACCAACAAGTGCGTTGTCGCAAACACCTTACTAGAGATCGCTGACCTGTTTCCTGTTCCTGCACCATCCATGGCTTGAGTTGAAAGTTTTCTCCCAAAGCTCATATCTCGAGAACTCATTTGCAGAAACCTCGTACTTTGTCCATCGGTTTTACGTAGTTTTGATAGATTTAGCTTCTGGGTTGCACTAGAATCGAAAGTCTTCCCATTTTTCGATTGGAATAGGATCTTGGGAGAGGAATTTCTTGATGAAGAAAGAGCTAAGGGAGAGAAGAGAGGGGTGGCTAAATGAGTAGCCATGGAGGTGGAGACGACGTGGCTGTGATTCTGCGTGACGGCACGTCATAGTCTTATTCATCTTCGTTTAATGAAGAAAATTGGATTACGAGACTTTGTATGGACGAGAGAAGGTTTTCTATCAATAAAGAGATGAGCGACTTTTGTCTTTTCTCCCACTTGTGCTGAGTTTTTCCCAGCTATCTCTATTTTAATTTTTTTTTTTTATAAGACTGTTAAATTTGAAAATTGAACGATGATACGAAAACTAGAAACAATAGGGATAAAATAAGGGGAAAAATTCTAGAGTGACTCAAACTAATGGTGTAATTACTAGAATAACTCATATGTTTTCAAAATTATTAGAATATTTTTCTGGTCAAAATTGTCCTTGGCTGTAGTTATAACAAAAAAAAATAATTACCAATGTGCCCATCAAATTAGGTCGTCGATCGATTTATTTTCGAAAAAATAAATCTGTCGCCCATTAAATCTGTTTTCTAAATCGGATAAGAAAATATAATCGATCATAAGAGTGGTGGCAGATTTTCTTTAAATCGTCAGATTTTTTTCTACGGTAGACTTATTTTGTCTGATATGATAGAAAATCGATTTTTGAAATACGTCTGTCGAATGACACAACGGATTTGTTAAAAATGATAGATTTTTACGATTGACTTAGTTTCGTATGGCAGAGATATATAACCGATTTACATATGCGGTAGACTTGTTGACTTACGATCTGGCAGACTTTTTAGTTTAAGAAATGGCAGATTTGTTGCGTTAATTATGGGTTTTAGTAAACCAAGCTAATTTATTACGAATTTCAACCCGGTTTACTGCAATTCCGAGTTTGGTTTATTTCTAGTAGATTAAGACCTCAATTATGTATAACTTTTTGTAACTATCGTCATCTATTTCACTTCTTTGTTCTTCCTGATCATATTATTCCTTTTCATGGTGATTTCAACTCTTGATTCAAAATTTTTATCGCTTAGAAAAACATAGATCACATCATTCTTATATACTATGGTGATACTGTTACACTTGTGTTTTTATTTATAGTAAGAAAATACATTTGAACATTATAATCTTAAATGCAGTCTAATAAAAGTTTGGAATATACGTTTTATAGAGGTCAAATGTGTTAGCACTTTAGTATCATCCAAACCATGTGAACTCCGATTGATAACTTAAATTTATGAAGAATAAATACAAGAAGGTAACAAGTTGTATAAATCCTGCTTCTACACGTATCAAACTCAGCGGAATCTACAGACTCTGGCGAAAACAAAATTACAGTAACTTGAGTGTGTTTGAGGTGAAAAAGGTTAAGAACAATATAAAGAGAGAGAGATTGGGGCGAACAAAGACGCTCTTTATTAGATCTAAACAAGAGGTTACAAGGAGGTGAGTAAAGAGGCGATCTAGCCGGAGCTCGGAGAGCAGACCGGAAGACTACAAAGTGGTGAGTATCGGTGAAGGTAAGCAAACCCTAGATCTAACCACCTAGTCTCTATGAAACCCTAGATCTAGGCGCCTAGTGAGTATGTCGAAGTGTCTCCCCCTTTTTCCCTTGCTGCCTCTCTAGATCTAGCCGCCTAGTGAGTATGTCGAAGTGTCTCCCCCTTTTTCCCTTGCTGCCTCTCTCCTTTTATAGACCTTATCTTCGTGTTCGCCCTAATTTACGTGAGCCTTGTTGGGCTTTATTCTCGTTGGGCCCGTTTAGTAGCCCGGGTGAATCCTGCTTCCGCCGACTCTTCTAGAACACTCTTAGTCGCGCTAGTAGACACGTCCTCGTGCTGAGGCGTTTCTTACGCGTTTAGTGGGCCGAGTACACTGTCACATCGGGCTAAGCTTCTCCATTTGATGGGCCTTGTGGAGGGGTATAACCCATCTCCTACAATAAGTCCCCCCCCCCCCAATTCACTTGTGAGTTCTTATGACTCTAAGTGAATTTGTTGGTCAGGTTTGATCATATGGAGAATCTAGCATGGATGCGCATTTAGGCGTCACCTTGAGCGAGTCTAGTAGCGCGGCTAGGACGTCATCTGCTAAGACGTGTTTAGCAGTCATCATGAGCGGATCTAGTAGCACGGCTAGGACGGCGTCTGCTCGAGCGTGTTTAGCGGTCACCTTGAGCGAGTCTAGTAGCGCGGCTAGGACGTCTTCTGCCAGAGCGCGTTTAGCAGTTACCCTGAGCGGATCTAGTAGTGCGGCTAGGACGTCGTCTGCTCGAGCGTGTTTAGCGGTCAGCTTGAGCGAGTCTAGTACCGCGACTAGGACGTCTTCTATTAGGGCGCGTTTAGCAGTCGCTTTGAGCGCGTCTAGTAGCGCGGCATGGACGTCGTCTTGTAGCGCGTTTAGGCGCTTGCTCAAGCGGGTCTAGTAGCGCGGCTAGGATGTCCTTTGCTAGAGCGCGTATAGGCGTCAACATGAGCGCGTTTAGTAGCGCGGCTTGGACGTCGTCTTGTAGCGCGTTTAGGCGCCTGCTCGATCGAGTCTAGTAGCGCGGCTAGGACGTCTTCTACTAGAGTGCGTTTAGGCGCCTGCTCGAGCGAGTCTAGTAGCGCGGCTAGGACGTCTTCTGCTAGAGTGCGTTTAGCAGTCACCTTGGGCGTGTTTAGTAGCGCAGCTAGATTGTCTTCTACCAGAGCGCGTTTAGGCGCCTACTTGAGCGAGTCTAGTAGCGCGGCTAGGACGTCTTCTACTAGAGCGCGTTTAGCAGTCACCTTGGGCGCGTCTAGTAGCGCAACTAGATTGTCTTCTGCCAGAGCGCGTATAGGTGTCACCACGAGCGCGTCTAGTAGCTCGACTAGTGCGTTGTCTGATCTAGTCGACTGATCGAGGTGCTCGTTTAGCAGACATCTTTTCATCTTCTCCTAACCGTTTTCCGGTTTAGTTTCAACCGCTTCTCGATTTGGCTCTGGTTTAGTTTCAAGTAACCGGTTTTAGGGCTTAACCGGACCTAATTAGGTTCGAAATCAAAAGATTTCGAATAATCTTGTGGGTTTCTGCGTTTGATGGGCTTATTTAGGCCCGTTTAAGCACATTAATTGCACCTAGAGAATCGTGCCTTAGGACTTTGCTATAAATAGGTAGATGCTCTTCTTCTTTCATTATTCTTCTCTGCAAGTTCAGGTACTTTCTTCTCTCCCTTCTCTCTACCTTTTAAATTTCTCTCTCTAAGTTTTCTTCGACTTCTTGCCTCGGATTTTCCCTTTTTGGGTGGTTTGATCATCGCATCGGGCTATGGCTTCATCGGGATGGTTGTCGCGTGAAGAGAAAGGCAAAGGGATTGCCCTTGCGACGGGTAAGACTGATGATGTTACAGAGAATGGAAGTCCAATAGAGGACTTTAGCCTAATTCACCGTGACGCTCTGCGGGGGGAGCGGTCCGAGTCGTATAGCGATTCAGACGCCAAAGTAGGGAATGAGGAAGGCGATTCGAATTGTTCGACTAGCGGGTCCGAGCGAGAAGATGTCGAAAGCTCTGATCCCGATCCTGTCAGCGAAGGTTCAGCGTCTCCAAGTCTGAGTCCTCGATCCTTGTGGATAAGGCATCGAGTCGCTAGATTCGACTTGATAGAGTGCAAGCCGAGCATTCATCGTCTCGACGGGACCTTTGAGGAGTTAGACGCTCTTTCTCCCGAGCTGCTGCGAGATCCTTGGGCTGAGGGTCAACGTTGGGAGAACGTTTTCGGGACCCGATCGACGCACGGATCTGTGAGAGGTATCCTGGAGTGTGCTACAGGAGTAGGCGTGACGTATGTGATTCCTTCCCCAGAGCAGAGGCCTTGGTCTCCACCAATCGGCTTCCAATGTCTGTATGAATCATACTTCGAGGACGACGCCAAACTCTGGTTTCCAATTCCGCGCTTGATATCGGCATACGTTAGGAGACGGGGAGTGGCGATTAGTCAACTAAAGATCGGCTCGATTCGGAATGCCGTCATGCTGATGGTGATGGCTGCGGAGATAGATGTTCACATGAGCGTGAGGGTATTCAAAGAATTAACTTCTACGAAAGCGGAAAAGGGAGGCCTTTTTTCTGTGAAGATGCGTCCAAGTTATAATGTCTTGACCGGCCATCCTCGCAAGACAAAGAACTGGCAGCGTGCGTACTTTTACGTCAAAGCCGATAAGCGTTTGCAGAAGCTATCGAGGACGACTTCCCGGTCTTATGGAACAAAGAAATTGGTAGAAAACGAGCATCGTGGTGTTTACTGTCTGCGTTGGTTGTCTAACCTCGCTTTCTGTCTTTTGCAGGTCGTCATCCAAATACGATCGCGTATCCAGAGAAGTTCTTCGAGATCGCGCAGGCTATAGCGACTCAAAGCCATATGAATTGGCCGGATCTCAGTCGAGAGTGGGTTCGCCGACAACAAGCACGCATAGCAAGAGGTAATCATTCTTCTTTGACCTTTGGTTCTGACTGATGGACTAACGGTTCTTTTTTCTCCTTCTGCTTTTGCAGTTGATTGGGAATCAAGACAGCCACTGGTGGTCTCGGCACGTAAATCTCGCTTATCCTTATTTACTAGGAAGCAGCAGAGACTACTTAGGCAGGCGAGAGAGATGTCGGGGAGACCAGATTTAAGCGCTCTACTTAAGGGAAAACTCCAACTGCTGAAGAAGACGACTTCCGGGGTTGCGCCGGCTGGGGATAACGATGCTGAAGCTTCTCAACAACGTGATCCAAACCCGACCGAGCAGTCTGCCGATGTTGATCCGTCGGCTTCTGAAGTGAAGAAGAAGAAAAAGCGGAAGAGCCCTGCGACGAAGAAAGTACGGTCATCGACAGAGGCTACCCCTCTCGAAGGGCCTTCGGACGGTTTGGAGGTAAGGGAGAAGGAGAAGGGAAAGAGATCGCGCGGAAATTCCGTCGATGGTGGTCCTACCGGGAATGATTCTGAGGAAAAAGGTTCGGGAGAAAGTCCGAAGAAGAAAAAGAAGAAGAGAATTGCTAAGGAGGTCTCGCTGCCTCTAGGTCCCGAATCTCGTCCTGCGGATACTAAGGAACAGGCGAACGTTGATGATGAGACTGAAGCGCATAACCGGCTGGTAGATCC